AATCCAAATTTTTAGATGGCTGTCTAAAATTTTAGTCAGCTGGATGGCAGGCTGGTTAGTACCATGAAGTAATTAATGCGGTAGAATAATCTTGAGCGTGACATCTACCAAAATAAAGCAACAATATAAATTGTATAACTTTGCTTGACTTATAATTATTGAATATAAACACTTCTTACATTTGGTCAACTTGCATAATAGTTGCTTGCAAATTTGTGTTTATAAGCACAGTCAGTACTAAGTAGTTTACTCAGTGTTTACATAGCTTACATGCTGTACATGTACTCAACAAATTCCTGAAATATGTCTCGCTAGCGAGCAACATACAACGTAAAAACACATGGAATTGTAAGTTTGAAGTTTGTTCTTTGCTGAAATATCTCAAAATTGTGTAGACAAACCAGTTTCAATGTCATGCACCGATGCACGTCCACTAGAGTGTATAACAGTAATCGACAATTCCAAGATCATCCATTATCCAGTTGAAATTTTGACATTTACCACTCCATCTGCCTTCTAGAGTATTCCGTTTCCCAAAAGTATTAATATTTGATGTTATATACATGTAGGATACAGACCAAATTTAAATTGAACGGTTGCAAAAATTCTTATAAATTCCATTCACATTCACACTTTGTCGCTCCGTACGATTTACACAGTTTCGGCGTGGTTTGACCAACTGGATTTCGTTAAATTCCGGCCATCCGTTGTAAGGGCAATAATCAATGTTTCGTTCATATTTGTAACAATTTACAACATGAAAATGATATTCTCGATCGATATTTTTTCGAATTGTGTTTGAATATGAAGTATAAATAAAGAGATCGTATCCTATGGGAGTGAGGGTCATGCAGCTTTTGACATTTTGTAGTAGTTTTGATATGAACAAACTAATCCCTAGGGTACCCTGGGTGCCACGACAAGTCCGTTGAGATGACACATCTGTCCCCCATTCTCGTACCCAGAGCCCTTCTTACGCGCGGTGCGACGAGGGGCTCTGGCCAAATCCATATTCCGAACTGGCATCTGATTGGCTAGTTCTAAGACCAGAAATTGTTTTCTTACCATGTTTTTATGGTATCCGGTTATGGATTTGGCCAGAGCCCCTCGTCGCACCGCGCGTAAGAAGGGCTCTGGGTACGAAAATGATCTCTCCCCAATTTTCTCCCTGCACGGTAACCTTATAAGAACATCAGTTATTTGAATAACTAAATTATATAAGTTCTCAACGATTAAGAGATGCTCGTAATAATGATAATAATGACTCGTAATAATGATAATAATGACTAACTCGTCATAATGATATAAACAACATATAAAACTTCCAGTATAGACTTATTGTTTGCTATGGGAAAGATCCATCACTTTTGATAAAATATAGCTACCATCGGAAAATATCGTGACGTTCCGGTATATTCCCATCCTCGTCCCCAGGCCGAAGCTCGGGCGGCCCTCGCAGTGGCCCTGGTTCAGGCTGTTGATCTGCGTCGGAATTCCGACGCAGAGGCTTGGTCGCACAGCATATGCCTTTCTCCCTAAAAACATGGCGACCGCAATGAATGCAACCGTACGAGGAAGGCAGATGCAATATATTTTGCACTTGCAAAAACAAATAATACTCAAATTAAGTTAAAGGAAGAGCAGAAAGAAGATATTCGTCAAATAGTAAATGGAAGGGATGTTAAATCGTTGATATACCAACTTTTACCGTCCATGTTCGACTACATTAATTCGAGAAAAAGAAATATTTCTGGCCGTGTTGCCAGAAACAATTGTAATCGTGATTTCCCTATTAAATGCACTGGTGGGCGACCAAATAGACAAGCTAAAAACTGACATAGGTGTTAAGGCAGTTGTTTTACGCCATGATGATCATGATCAAGAAATGAAAGGTGGGTACTATTAAAAATACTTCATTTTGCTATTTTTGTATATAATACATAATATGTATAGACGGTAAATAGACCCCTTGCCTAAAAACCAACTGGTTGGAAAGTTTATTGAAAATATAGTTAGCATTAAGCAATCACTATTAAGTGTACTTCCCATGTTAGGGTCTTGGGGAAATGTTTCCCTTATTTTTCGGACAGTACTAAACCACGAAACAGCGAAACGAAACAGCGAAACAACGAAACAGCGAAACGAAACAGCGAAACAACACGTTTTATATTATTTTTAGTGAAATGAATAAACTACATTTAAGTTAAACTAAATTAGAACGAATTAAGTTAGACGAGATGAAATTAAATCTTTAATTAAGTTACAACCGTACAACGTCATCACGGCATCAGCACATAATAGTCTCAGTAGGTAAAAGTAAAATAAGCATCAAAACTGTGATACGTTTACCCAAATTGAAGAATGTTTTCATGTACGGTATGTTTTATTACTATTAGTGAATCCTTTACAAATCCATAGGCATAGAGGCCCAATAGTTAATATTGTAATAGGCACCAAACGACTAAAATACTAAAAAATCCGATACAATTTCATAATATGTTACTGTGAAAATATTCTAGCAACTGTTTTTGTCGCCATAGGTGTTTATTTAAACCATGCTCAATCTTACCTTGCCGTTGTGGATGCAGACTTGCAGTGGCGTAGTGACGTATATGAAGTCTTTATTATTGGGAAGGACGGAAACTAATTTTCTCATATCCAATCCACACACATGCTCGCGATCGGTCAGAACGGCCCCAAGTCAAATGGGGGCCCCGCTTGGATTGTTCGAACTATTATGTTACTATATAACAAAAATAAATCCATTGCCAGAAATTACAGCTATGCAAAGGTGAACATTTAACAATTTATTTGGCGAAGGCGAGGTGATTTATATCGGGGAAATTCCTTCACCGAGACGAAGTCGAGAATTAATATTTGAATAAAACAACTCCATAGTTGAATATTTGTATAAAACAACTCCATAGTTCAACATTTACAATCTAAATTACCTAATCCTTGAATTAATTTTATAATTTGTCATAAAACTTATTATAGTTTGAACTCGTGTAATAATAATTTTATTTGTATAATAATTTTCAAAGCATGCAATAGCCGTTTTGACTTGGAGTCGTTTTGACTTGGGGCCGCCGTTTGCCTTGGGGCCGTTTTGACCGAGCACCCCACACACATGCTCGTTTCACAGCCAAAATTTAATGTCAAAACAACATGAAAACTTCAAAGAAATTATAACAGAGGAAACTTTGATAGTATTCGAAAAGCAGAAGAGTTTCTATATCCTTCCCAACATTCGATAATAAAGATTAATACGTGACACTATTAGTATTAATTATGACTTTTATGTGCTGATGGCGTTGTAACTTTAAGCAGGGACGCTGGAACTGGGGGGGGGGCAGGAGGGGCAGCCGCCCCCGTTGCCCTTTAGCAGAAGGGGCAAGGGGGGGAGGCAAAGGTGCCCTTTCAGTTTAAAGGATTGCCTTGGTGAAATAGCGAATTGTCAGAAATGTTAGTGCAATTCTTTTACGAATTTGCTTCAGAAAACGCAAGAAATGCAGTCATTGAGCTTCAAGAATAGCACAATCGCCTGGCGGAGAACTCCCTCACACCCCTATCATCCAATAAATAAAAACATGGTTAGGCGAAGTTCAATTCCCGATGTTTTGCAAATATCTCTTAGTATGTACTAGCCCGCGTGCAGGCCCAAGGGAACTGATAGTGGGCCTAAGCAAGGCCCGGTATTTTGTAAAACGCCCATTTTCATAAAACGCCCCTTTTTCTCTGCTTATTCAGATCATAAACAATGTATAAATCGCAGCGTTTTAACTCCAAAAAAGCAAGCAACGCAGTCAGTAATTGCCAAATTTGCAAGTGCTCATTTTCAACTAAAATCGGAACAGGCAAATTAGGACGAATTTCAACAGAAAACCAGTCTCAAACTTCAAATCGTGAGGGCAGTCGTGCGACCACATTAGCATTTATATTATGTGTGCTTCGCTGTCGCCATTGGTATTGTTATATATATATATATATAAATAAATTGTCTCGCTTATCAGATCGTGTGTGCAATTCTTGTTGTCGGCGGAAAGTACGAAATTTATTTCAGTTATTTCATTTGGTAAAGAACTCTACAAAAGAAGAGAGCGTTCAGAGCGTCCAGATCGTTTCGTTTCAAACGGCAATTTAATGCCGTCTTCTGTTTCGCTCTCTCAGCGAAACCTTTTAAATCGCAAAGTGTTTCGAATAGGCTTACATGCAACTGCATCTCAACATCAACCAAAAGATAATTTTCTTGAGGAACATATAACGTATCACGTCTGTTTGAAATTAATGAAACTCAAGTAAAGGTTACTATAGTTTACCCCAGTCGTAATGTTACTATTCCAACACCTCACGACAAGCAATCCCCATTGGCATAACGGAAAAAACATCTCTTCCTTCAAGTAAACAATAAACAGTCTGTTCTTGTTGCATTTATAATCGAAAAAAGTGATCAATTTTCGAATTTTGAGCTTATCGAGAGCCTTTGTGATGAATCACTGACCTAATTATAGAATCCAACAGCAAACATCCAATCAGAATGCCGCGTTCGTGGAAGAACGCGGAAAGTACAAGTACCTTGCTTGCAGGCCCACTATCAGTTCCCTTGGGCCTGCACGCGGGGTAAGTATATACCAATTCAAAGTGCCCTTTCACGAAAATCTCCTCCCCCCCCTGCCTTCACATTGTTCCGGCGTCCCTGACTTTGAGGATTTCATCTCGTCTAACTTCGTTCTACTTTGATATAAATATAGTTTATTCCTTTTACTAAAAATAATATAAAACCTGTTGTTTCGCTGTTTCGTTTCGCTGTTTCGTTGTTTCGCTGTTTCGTTTCGCTGTTTCGTGGTTTAGTACTGTCCCGATTATACGGTCAAATATCGAAGTATTATCAAGCGTTGTATATATGTAAATAAGTTCATATTAAAGCAACCAAAGTTCATTACATGGCGCCCAACTAGTGGAACTTACGAACCCGTTAAACGAAGATAAAACGAGCGAAAATGAGCGAAAAACTTTCACGATTAAAGGCAATACGAGGCGGTCACCGCAGCGTCGTTACAAAACACGAAAAGGAAGCTACAACGATAATAACGGACGAGATTATAACGAAAGACGATGTGTCACGAATCCAAGTCATCCAATGTTTGTTAGCGGAAAAACTGAAGACATTAAATACGATAGATCAAGATGTTTTGACCCTTTGTTCAGAGGCAGAAATCGAAAAAGAAATCGAAGATTCCGAAGCAATAGTCGCACGAATAATGGGCGTAAACAATGCCATCGCGGAGAGAATAAAACAATACGAACAGCCGAGTCAAGTAGTAACAGGTGAGTCGATTATCTCACAAATTTCGATGCATAATATGGCTACTGGCGTTACAAGTAGTGTAGAATCGAAGCCAGCGAAACCAAAATTACCGAAACTAAATTTGCCCAAATTCAAAGGGGACGTGACTTCTTTCACGACATTTTGGGAAATTTTCGAAAGCGCTATTGATAAAAACGAGGGATTAGCTGACATTGACAAATTTAATTATTTACACTCGCTATTAGAAGGACCGGCCTCTAGGGCAATACAGGGACTTGCCTTGACGTCTGCGAATTATAAAACGTCTATTGAAATATTAAAACAAAGATTTGGCCGACCCCAACAAATAATATCATCACACATGGACGAACTATTAAAGGTTCCAATTTGTTCTGACGACAAGGCTTCATCTATGCGTTTAGTATACGACCGAATTAACACTAATATAAGAGGATTGGAGTCAATAGGCATTAAATCAGATCAATATGGGAGTCTTTTAATCCCAGTAATAATGTCAAAATTACCGAGCGAAATTCGATTGATTATAGCGAGAAAATCGGAACATGACGTGTGGAAAATTGACGATTTAATGAAAACCATCCTTAGCGAAGTGGAAGCACGAGAAATTAGCGAACGAGTTAAAACAACAAATGAAAGAAAATCGAACTTTCCAAATAATCGTAGTCCAAACCAATACCGAAATAATAACCCAGGTACCTCGTCAGCGTTGTATAGTCGCGAGGGAGACAATACGTATAATTCAAATAAAATTCGATGTGCTTATTGTCATGATTTCCATTTCTCCGCCTCATGTGAAAAGATAAAGGATCCCAAACAACGAAAGGAAATTTTAAGAAAAGAAGGACGGTGTTTTGTTTGTTTACGAATCGGACATAGAGGATCAGAGTGTCAAAGAACATGTCGAAGGTGCAATGGCAAACATCATCAGTCAATTTGTATGAAATCCACTGACAAGAATACAAGCAACCAACAATCTCGGGAACAGGAGAATTCAAAGAAAGATCAAGCTTGGGAAAGAAACAAGGAATTGCATAAGCCAAATGCGACAGAGAAGGATGCTGAATCAACTGAAGAAGTCAAGACAACGACCACAACTGACCAACGGAGGTCTTCAGTTTTACTTCAAACGGCAACTGCATATGCTTACAACAACGCCAATTCAAAACGAACCAAAATACGGATGCTGTTTGATTCAGGAAGTCAACGTTCCTATATAACGAATGAACTGAAAGAAAAACTGGATCTCAAACCGATAAAGCAAGAAACCCTGCATTTGAACACCTTTGGAGAGGAAGGATTCAAACGACAAAAATGTGATATGTTCTCTCTGCAATTGCAGGGAGAGGACGGTGAATTAGACATTGAATTATCAGCCTTGGCATTTCCAGTCATTTGTTCCCCTGTGTCAACAAGAATTAACATTCAAGAATTTCCCCATTTAGACGGACTGCAGTTTGCTGATAACTTGGACGGAGAAGATCAACCGATTGACATGCTCTTGGGAGCTGACTACTATTACAAGATAGTCACAGGTGAAGTTATCAAAAGCGATACTGGTCCAACAGCTGTGGGAAGTAAGCTGGGATGGCTACTTCTTGGTCCTACGTCGACAACAACATCATTACACACTATGTCACACCTTGTTATTGATGGACGGAGAGAAATGTTATTCGAAGAGAAAGGAAATGACGAATTAGTTAGTAATTTAAAACGATTTTGGGATTTGGAGTCATTAGGGATTGTGCAAAGAGATGAAGGTTCAGTTTCCACTGATATTTTACGAGACATAACATTTAATGGAAAACGCTATGAAGTGGGCTTGCCCTGGAAAGAGGAGGTATTTTCCCTCTCTAATGATTACGAGTTATCTTACAATCGCCTTACTTCATTGGTGAATCGTTTAAAGCAAGACCCAACTTTACTCAAGGAGTATAATTCTATTATTGAGGAACAAATTGAGCAAGGTATCGTGGAAAGAGTTCCTGTCGAAAAAGAAGACAATTCTGCAACACATTATATACCTCATCATGGGGTTATTCGAAATGATCGAGATACAACAAAGCTTCGTATAGTTTTTGATGGCAGTGCCAAAGAAAGGAATAACGAACAGTCCTTGAATGATCATTTGTTGAACGGACCAAATTTCATACCTCCAATATTCGACGTCCTTGTTAAATTCAGATCACACGCCATTGGACTAACTGCTGATATCGAAAAAGCGTTTCTCCAAATTGAGATCAAGGAATCAGATCGAGACAAGCTTCGGTTCTTGTGGATTAAAGATATTAATTCAAACGAGTTAAAGGTGCAACAATTACGATTTTGCCGCCTTGTTTTTGGTCTCAAACCAAGTCCATCAATCTTAGGTGGTACAGTTCTTCATCATATATCCAAGTACCAAGAAACTGAGCCTGAAATTGTTGAAGTTTTAAAGGATCTATACGTCGACGACCTTCCAACTGGTGCACCGGATGATGGGACTGCTTTCGAAATTTACCAGAAATCAAAACAAATCATGAAAGAAGGGGGATTCAATTTGCGAAAATGGAAATCCAGCTCTAAGGAACTGTCGGAAAGAATAAATGAATGTGAAAGGGTCAACGAGTTAACAACTGAAGCGAAGGAATGTTCGAGTCCAACAGAAAATGTTAGTGTGTCCCAAGACAACCAAACGTATGTGAAATCGACGATCGGCCCACAACTTCCTGACGACAGCAAGGCAAAGATTCTCGGAGTCAACTGGAACGTAGAAACCGACAGTCTGTATTACGAATTTAATGAAATTCAACGTTATGCTCGCACTTTACCTCCGACGAAACGAACTGTTTTAAAGCTAGTTGCCAAGATATTCGATCCGTTGGGACTTTTAAGTGCATTCACTATTAAATTAAAGATGATGTTCCAGTCTATGTGTAAGGATAAGACAGATTGGGATGAAGAATTACGCGGCGAGATGCGTGTATTTTACGATGAACTTGTTAATGAATTAACCCATCTTAATGGTGTTTCTGTTCCAAGATGCTATTTTTCTCGAAGTTCCAATATCAGAGATTATCAATTGCATGGATTTTCAGATGCAAGTGAGAAAGCTTACGCCGCTGTTGTGTATTTACGAACGAAGTACGATGATGAACACGTAGATGTAAACCTAGTCGCCTCAAAGAGCAGAGTTGCTCCAATCAAACAACAAACAATACCTCGCCTAGAACTTTTGGGGGCTACAATTTTAGCTCGCCTCGTTGAAAACATTTCATCCTCTCTCATGCCTACTTTAGGTAAACTAGAGAAATTCTATTGGGTTGATTCCTCTGCAGTTCTTTGTTGGATAAAGAACAATAAACCCTGGAAACAATTCGTCCAACACCGAGTGCAAGAAATTAGAAAGTCTTCGTCTAAAGACGCCTGGCGATTTTGTCCTGGATCAAAGAATCCGGCCGATTTGCCATCTCGAGGGACTACAGGAACAGATTTGAAGTCGAACGAAGCCTGGTGGAAAGGGCCTGAATTTCTGCAACGTCCTGAAGAAGAATGGCCAAATGACTTGGCTTGTGAGAACACTGATCCAATTGCAATCGCAGAAGTTACGAAACACAAAACTGCTGTTATTCATAGTTTAGCCAACCAAGCGAAGCCGTTAAATTCAGACATCAGTATTGTTATTGACTGTCAGCGCTTCAGTACTAAAAAGAGATTATTGAGAACAACTGCCTACTTATTACGATTCGTTAAGTTTTTACGCAAAGAGAAAATTCAAAGAGAAAAAGTTATGGAAAGAGAAAACGCAGAGACAGCTGAAAAGGATAGAACGTCCGAACTGTCAACACTCGAACTGAGACAAGCAGAAGAATTATGGATTCAAGCAGTTCAAAGAAATTCATTTGAGGAAGAACTTAAGTTTTTATCGAGTAACAAAGTTTCGACACCTCCGACTTACGTTTCACAGTTTGGATTATATGTTGATGAGCAATCGTTGATTAGATGTGCTGGACGAATAAAGAATGCCCATCTCCCAAACTCGAGCAAATGTCCGGTTTTGCTGCCGAAGAACCACCACTTTACCAATTTAGTCATACAAGAAGTCCATCATCGAACAAGTCACAGCGGTATAAATCAAACTCTTTCGTCGTTGCGTGAGCAATTTTGGATCATTCGGGGAAGGGAGATCGTCAAGAAGAACGTTCGAAGATGTGTAGTCTGTAAAAGAAACGAAGGTCGACCTTATAACCCTCAAGTACGACCAGATTTACCCAGTTTTAGAGTTGATGAAGCACCGCCATTTGCGCACACTGGTCTAGACTTCTTAGGGCCTCTGTATGTCTCGAAGAAGAGCGACGCACAAGATGCAATTTCATCTGAAAAGACGTACGTTTGTTTATATACTTGTGCCTCTACAAGAGCAATTCATCTCGAACTTACACCCGACCTTACGGTGCCATCGTTCTTGAGAAGCTTTCGAAGATTTGTCAGTCGATTCGGATTACCTGCAACCTTAATATCAGATAACGCCAAAACGTTCACGTCGGCGTCACGCGAAGTAAAGAACGTTATTAGATCGGTCGAAGTTCAACGTCATCTTACAAATCAAGGAGTTAACTGGCAATTTATCGTTGAACGTGCCCCTTGGTGGGGCGGGTTTTGGGAACGTATGGTACGAACTGTAAAGGGAGTTCTCAAAAAGGTCATTGGTCGTTCGAGCCTTAATTATGATGAACTGTATACCATTCTTACTGAAGTCGAATCTATCGTGAATGATCGCCCGATAACGTATGTATATGACGACGTGGAGTCAATATCATATGCATTGTCACCATCCCAGTTAGTGTATGGTCGAAGACTCGCGAGCACGCCAAACAGCGCTCATTTTGAGTCCGTTAGTACGTGTAGCAGTTTAACAAGACGAGCGAAGCACCACAGAAGAATTCTAGAACATTTTGTAAACCGTTGGCGTCGAGAATACCTATTGAGTTTACGTGAAAAGTCAAGAGTAAATGCAAACCGACAGAATATCGCAGCCATTTCCGTGGGTGATATCGTGATTATTATGAACGAAAAAACAAAACAACAATTCTGGAAATTGGCCAGAGTGGAAGATCTTTTACCAGGTCAAGATGGAGTAGTTCGAGCAGCAAGAGTAAGAGTAGCGTGTAGTGAAGGCAAACCAAACGTTCTCCGACGTTCAATTGAGCAACTTATTCCTCTTGAAGTTACCGAAAGATTGGAAGAAACGGAAGGGGAAGCAGACGAAGGGGAAGACAAGGAACCCGAGCAAGAAACAAAGGAACTTAATAAAAATGAACACTCACGACCGCGCAGAGAAGCAGCGAGAGCTAGCGAAACGAGAAGAAAGGAATTAGTAAAAAATAAACTTCTTTAAGGTTCAAAAAAAAAAAAAAAAACTCAAATTGATTACTTGGGTAATCAATCCGGGGGAGTGTTATAGAGTTAGGTTAATTATATGCGGAATATTATATTAGACATTAGGTTGCATGCTGTTGTTATTGGTTCAATTTAGTTAGGGAAAATCACGTGACGAACACGAGTGTTGTCGTTATAAAAATGTCGAGCGAACGAACGAATACGAATACGATTATACGGTCAAATATCGAAGTATTATCAAGCGTTGTATATATGTAAATAAGTTGATATTAAAGCAACCAAAGTTCATTACACCGGCTTTACTGATTCTGTCTGTGAGTTTGTACGTTTATGCGGAATCACAAGCATATTTACTTGATGTAATCTCTAAGGTACAGTACAGTTATTTTTA